GTCGGTTGAAGGTTGCATACTGACCTGACACACTGACCCCGATCCAGTTCTGTCGTCGTGTTGAGCCAGTGACCTTGTACGACTCGGTGATGTCGCGGGTCGCCGCTACAGGACGGTATTCAGATATTTTTGATGTTGCAGAGCCCTTAATCTCGGTTCCCTTAATACATTGGTGTTTATGGTACTAAGAAAAATTGCTTATGTTTTCAAGATCTACACGTCGTGTAAAGGAAGACCCCAACTTTGCGGACACCCTGTATAGTGTAAGGACGCCTATAATAATTTCAGTTAGCCGACTTTTAAAATCAATATTTGCTGCACTGCGTTATAAGCCACTTAAATTCCGAGATGAGCACCATTTGGGAATTCGATGTTTGAATGATGCAATGTTTCTGCATGTAATTCAGATTCCGTTGTGAAAGGCAGATACTATACCCATACCGATAGCAATTCTGATAGTGACTTGGAGGCACTAACAAATAAATAAATGTGTGTCTTACGGCTTTAATGTCGTTATACAGGGTGGCGCATCGAAAACAAAACAGACGCATTTACTGGCAGCTCGGTTTTTTTTTGGAAAAACGCTCAGACCCGTCGATTTTGTTTTCGAGGGGGACACAAGCATGGCAAAAAATCATGTTAGCATGTGCAGCACCCTAAGCGGGGGTGACACCACCCCCAAAATCTTAATTGGAAAGAGGGGTCGAGTGATACCTTATTTTAAAGGTCTTTCAATTCCCTTTATAATGATATAAAATTAATGTACTGCAGTTCAATAGTTTTGAGGATTTATTGATTTAAAAAATAAAATAAAGAATAAAACTAATACATCATCACTAGTGGAGATCAATACGTTTGGCAGCAAAATAATTTAAAAATGATGCTTTTTAAATGACCCCACATAAAGAAATCCAAAGGTGATAAATCTGGCGATCTTGGGGGCCATTCAATGGCACCTCTTCTACCAATCCATCGATCTGGAAAAATCTGATCTGAATATTGTCGGACAAATAATGCGTAATGTGGTGGAGCACCATCCTGTTGGAACATCAACCTATTCGCAATGAACCGCCGATCATTCTGATTTTCAATTATGGCTGTTAATGGAAAAACGGTATCAATTCAAATTTAGTGTCAATTTGCTTGCTGATTATTGCTGGACATTGTTAAGAGCGACGTATCGTCGTAAAACATCGACAACAACATTCTGAGATTAATGTTTATTCGAGTATTTATTAGTACTCTTACTCTATCCTTATATTTTACGAGTATAAGCGGCAAATAAAATGCATTATTGCAAGAAAACCGTGGGTCAAGAAATCTAATGCTATTTCCGGCTTCCTGAGTACGTCTTACATAATAACCACCTTGTTTTATCCATGACACAAAAAATTATTTTAATTTTTTTCATCAGTGTAATCGATAAAGCTTACCCGCCTCTAATCCAAACCGTGTCAAACATCGTATATCCAAAACTAGCCGATACCACCGCTCATTTGTACTAAGTTTATCGAGATTGTAGAACAGCTTGCCTGGGGCAGTTCAAAAATCGAATTGAAAGACTGCCTTTAAGCGCTGGTATTTAGGCTTCTGCATACGCGGCTGCTTCGGTATTTAAAAGAGTGTGAAATATGTCCATACGTACCTGGATGGAGAAGTTATTGTCCCTGTCATCACATTCCTCGACGCTATGCACTCCAAGGTATAAAATCTATGTAAGGTACTATCAGCTACTTCTCATACTTTTCCAGTATTCCTAGGAATAAACCAACCTTCTTAATAAAGTGATGATAGATACGGCGCGAGATTTACAGAGGCTGACTTACCCTGCCTAATTTTATAATTCTGTCGAACTGAATTATAATCTGAGATAGTATAAAACTTCTTGGCAAGTTATCTCGATAACATTCGCCCACCCCCCAGCTTACCTTTGCATTATTCAAAACTCAGCAACCGACTGTGGAAGTTCAGTTCGCTTTGAGCTAAGTAAGCAAATTTCGGAATAACGAGGACGTAGTCCAAATTATGAGGGGATCTACCTAAAACAAACGAAAATAACTTTCATTTTGTTTTCTTGCGCCAGACCGCAAGGAAATCCGGGAAATATGAAGAGTTTGGGGCAATAAGGTACCTAAGCCACTTTGACTTTCTTTCGTCACATCAAAAACTAATATCAGGTAAGCTAAATCGTAAAATCACGTTTCAATTTCGATTGAAATGCTACAATATGCTTACATTCTGAGAAACAAACATTTGGCTCTAATAGTCAAAAATCCAAAATCTTAAGTGGAAAGGGGGGGGGGGGGGTCGCGAGATACCTTATTTTAAAGGTCTTTCAATTCCCTTTATAATGTTGTAAAATACATCAGCTTCAGTTCAGTAGTTTTGAAGATTTATTGAAAATACACTTTAATAGGTAAATCTAATTAGTTTTTTACTTCCAGAAGAAATTTGACTAAATGAATTTACTTAATAAATAAGTAAATGCTTTTCTTGACTACGCCCATGGTTTGTTTATCATTTTGTTGTTGAAAATAGCTATTGGAGCGTTTTTTTTTTGTGGAAAAAAGTTATTTCTTGAAGAAAGATAAGGAAATATCTTGTACTTATTTTAAATGGGAATTTAGTACATAATTTGTGATTGATTTCACCAAACTTTGTTGCTAAAAAACTTGTAACGCTTTATTACATAAATTAACCATGGTATATTTCACAGCAGAAAGAGTTGAAATAATCGAAATATTTTTCGAAAATAATGAGCGCTAATAGAACAGCAGAAATATTTAATGAGCGACATAAGAACAGTAACGTGCATCGAAAATATGTTCTAGAACTTGTAGCTAAATTTCGGGAAACTGGTTCAGTTGCCAATAATAACGCAACATTGAAAATCCCATCAGGAACGAAGCAATAGAAGTGGGGGTTTAAGGGCAAGTTTATGTAGATCCTACGTTACGTACCCGCAAATTGAAGACTGTGTGTGGTGTTAGTAGACGTACTGTCCAACGGATTCTAAAGGCCCATAGTTTTCATCCGTATAAAATTCACCTGGTACAAGAACTTAATGAAGAAGATTTCGTTCGGCGATTACAATTTTGTGAAGATATGAGTGAACAAGTTATAAACCTAGAACATTTTCTATTCAACACTTGCTTTTCCGACGAATGTTCCTTTTTCTTAAATGGCGTAGTAAATCGTCATAACTGCTGATATTGGTCAGATTCTAATCCCAGAATTTATCATGAGGTTCATACACAGCAGCTACAAAAATTAAATGTTTGGGCTGGCATTTTTGGCGATTATTTAGTTGGTCCTTTTTTCTTACCTAGAAATTTGACTGGTAAAATGTATTTGCAATTACTGGAAGACGCCATAGATCCTGCATTAACAGCCATAATTGAAAATTAGAATGATTGCGTATAGGTTGATGTTCCAACAGGATGGTGCCCCACCACATTACGCATTACGTGTTCGACAATATTTAGATCAGACGTTTCCAGATCGATGGATTGATAGAAGAGGTGCCATTGAATGGCTCCCAAGATCGCCAGATTTATCACCTTTGGATTTCTTTATGTGCGGTCATTTAAGAAGCAAAATCAGTCTGTTTCGTTTTCGATACGCCACCCTGAATGTATCCGCCACGTCAGCACCTTGTACAACAATCCTTGACCTCTCCCGATTATAAATGAACCTCCTCCAAAATGGAAAATCGATGTTTCTTGGTAAGTAAAGAGCCTCGCGCATTGTTCCCAAGCGCAACCTTTATGAAGACCAATTAACTCCCCAAACAGTGGTAGTAGGAACAGGGTCGGCCATTGTTAAAGCCGCAACTTTCCCGGCTGGTAAAAGCAAAGAAAATCCTCTGCGAGGCGACAGGACAGACAGCCAAGATCATTAGTTAAAAACTTCATTAGCCGAACACAAATAAAACTGGAAGGTCACGACATGGAATGAAGATGTATAGTGGGTACTGTTCCTGAGCGAGATACTTTTTGTATTGTACACTTTATTGTTGATTCTGATGGCGGGTGCCTGGCTGAGGAAAATGAATGATGAGTTGTTTTAATTGAATCAAAGCTTGAGTTTCGCTGGAAAATTCTCAAATCAGGACGCAACCATTGTAGATTAGATTATATAACAGAAAGGAGTTTGGAATATAAGCACGACTTATACAGAAAAACCACGAGCTTAAAAGAAACTTAGCCTAGGCATATGTGTGTGGTCCTTCCCCAGCCATCTGCAGGTATAGTATAATTTCAATACCAAATTATGATTCCAACGCGTTTATTTGTTGTACACGTGATAAAGTTCTTGAAAGTGACGACGAAATGAGGACAAGGGACAAAAAAATAAAATTGCATGGAGGTTGTAGGGGTTAAGGGCCATCTTAATCCCGCTGATGTTACCTACCTGTTAGGCACAATATCACATTTTGCATAATATCAAAATAACCGTGACTCCAGCAACGCATCAACCCGCGATATCCTTCACCCGCGGAGGGTCCGATCCGAATTCAGCAACGCCGACGGTGCCTCAACCACAGCGCTATCGACGACGCGTGACGATGTAATGATATAGCCGGGGAATAGTACGTACGAAGGTTGACTCAGATAAAATTCATGCTGCATACTCGAAAGTCCATAATTTAATCATTTTAATCAACAATACTGATTTCCGTTTTTTTTTTTGCGAGACATTTAAAAGCAATCTATTCCAACTAAATGTCTCGCAGCCTTATAATATTATGCACCTGCTAGCTACAAATGATAAACATATATTTGATCAACTAATTAGCTTCATTTGTGAGACTGGCATACAATTGTAAAACAAGACAAACCTTCTTAACATCACAATAACGGCATAACCTAAAGCGTTTGTGTTAGCTCATTTTTAGGTCTTAGCTGCCGATCCTTTGTTGAACACCTTTATTATTACCTTTACCGTGGTCCTCCTCTGTGTAAGTCGCCTTGATAGACCCCTTGGCGTGAAACATGTCCTTACCCTTTGTCTTCTTTTCGTCTTCTGTTTTTCTATGGAGAGGTTAGGTTAACAACAACAATTAAGAATTGTTAGGATTCAATTATGATAATTTATTCAAAATAAACCGTTTTTTAACATTCATTGACACCTTTTGATGAGGTAGTGCCAGTCTTAATTATATATAGAATTACTTGTACATCTGAACACTGGACATTTTACCAACCTAGTTTCTGGCTGCATGGCTTGGTCCTAAAGCCAAAAAAAAAAAAAAAAAAAAAAATACTGATTCCACTGATGTTCGTTCAAATCTATGATTTTACATCGAGTCACAAGGATTTTCATAGCCGTGCTTTTCATAGCATAAAAACCTTTGGTCGGCGCGTCCTTTGTAATTTCATGACGTATCATAGGCGTGCGGTTATTTATTTAGAACGATAATAATAATGTTTTTTTATATCACAATAAATGGATTTTACTATCTTCTTATTTTTTTGATTTGGGATAAAAATACTGATATTGGGAGTTTAATTTATGTTGACTGAAAGTTAAGAAATGGAAAAATTACAGAATTCCAACATTTGACATAGGCAAATATTTACATAGCAGGTAGGTATATAAAAAGGTATATAAAGACTTACATTATAGGTATTTATATATCATCCTCGCCTTCGGAGCTGTCGCTAGAGTCATCTTGTAGAGGAATTACAACGGGATTTACAGGAGGCAAAACACAATATTCATTTTCTTTTTCAATAATATGCCTAGAACACTGCTTCCATAGGTCTGTGGCAGCAATATGAGATACTGCATCTCTTATTGTGGCCAATAGCGATTCACTTAATTGAGGGGTCTGATTATGTTTTCTTACTTTTTTTTTTAAAGCAGCCCAGACCAACTCAATCGGCTTAAAAATGCAGTAATAGGGAGGTAGACGTAATACTTCATGGCCATTTTGCTGAAGCAGATTTTCAACAACATACTCTTTTTCAAATTTTTGTCTTTTAATAAGATCCAATAATATGGCTTTGGTTGATTTTTGTGGTATTTCCATTCCCTTATCCTTCATAAAATCAATAATGTCTTGTTTTTTTATACCTGTATTCGGAATTTTGTTTTTCTGTCGGGAATGGTATGGCGCATTGTCCATAATAATCACTGAATTTGGGGAAATGTTTGGTATTAACTGCTGCTCTATCCACTTTTCAAATAAGTCGGAGGTTATGTCCTCATGATAGTCGGCACATGATTCTTTGATATTTTTGGCAGATAACAGCAAGGCATTAGGTATAAATCCATTTTCACTGCCAGCATGGAGAATAATGATTCGTTTTCCACGGTTGCATGGTGCATTTAAAATGCACTTGTTGCTGTCGTCAATCCAGCCGTACTGCACAACATCATGGGTATTATACCACGTTTCATCCAGGTAAATCAGATTTCTTTTCTGCTCTCTATAGATTTTAACTTTGTGCAAAAATTCTTGGCGCAATTCAACGATTCGAGACGACTCCATAATCACCATTCTTTTATCTAATTTTTTGTATTGAAAACCACACAATTTTACAATACAGTGCAGTGAGTCTAAGCATTTGTAATTATAAAAATCTTCAGGATAATCTTCTAATTTATCCCGTATCATTTCCAACGTGGGCACCAAATTTTCTTTATAAAATCCGTATATTATACGACGAATATCTTCCTGAAAACCCACGTCTATTCTTTTTAATTTTTGCCCTATGCGCTTTCTGTGGAAGGAATGGTTGACTACATCTCCCCTTTTTATAACCCGATAAATGGTAGACTGACTGATTTTTGTCAGGATACAAATTCTGTTTAAAATTTGATTTTGCGAGGAATCTGGATTTTCGTTTTTCAGACAATCATACATATTTAGGATTACTCTTTGGGTCTGTTCCTCTAAATCTTTATGAAAGAATTCTGCCTGCACAGGTAAATCAACCATCTCCTCGTGGCTTGGAGCATTTTCCCAAGGTCTCCAAAGAGCCATATTTAGGACACACAAGAACAATCAACACAACAATTAAATTAACAAGTAAACCGAGTATTCAAAAGTCAAAAATACACAAACTAATAAAATCTATGAAAAACACGGACAGACTAAAGAAAACACGTTTATTCACCGCTGCACGGCACTGGCTAAACTGTTTCAATTTTCAGTAGCCACCTGCACTTGTTCGGAGCTCTGAAATACACGCTTTCTCATTGGTTATGTCCACGCATAGGCGTGCTTTACTCCACGTGGACCGGTGAAACTGCCTTTGATCTTATACGGGGGATATTTGCTGCGTAATTTGGCGATTTTTGCAGCAACAGAGCGTGTTAAATATAGATATGTATATAAAACGCACCCGGTATTTCACAGTGTTTCAAGTGACTTCAGATAAAGTATACCTGACGCCTTCTTCTCAAGCATGTAAAACAATATTTGGACATGAACCACTCTCATATTAAAGCTATGAACTGTCGTACGAGCTAGTGTTACGAAAGATAATCTATATAGCAACATATCTGATAACTTCCGACCACCAACGCTGCAGCAAAAGCCATTATGTAAAAATGGACAATTTATGGTCCAATGAATCTTTCTGGCAATCATAACTCTGTCCAATAAATAGCTGCGGCCACATTTTTCGATAGTCCATTACGAACGGTGGGAATGCTTCATAATCTACGCACCGCACTGTTCGTCACGCCAGTCGACATCGTTACTCATTTTTTGTTTTCACTGTATTAACTTCGGATTCCGTGGAGGTTTCGAAAGTCACACGCTATATAAGAGATAAGAAGAGGAATTTGGCCAAAATTTGGAGTCAGTAAGTTTCATTAAATTAAATATTTAAAACACACATGACAACGGCGCGTCGGTCTTTCATCACTCTTATCGAACCGGGAATCGATCGCAAACGGTAACGGTGGTTAGTTATCATTTTGCATAGATAAATTGGTTTATCGTTTTGTCGAACAGAGCATCGGGCGTGTTGTTTTGTTTTTGTTCGCGTACGTCGTCGTGCTTATTTACAATGATCTCGAATCAAGAGTTCGCCGATATGTTGTTAGTTTACGGTGAAGCTCGGGAAAATTCAAATCTTGCAGCTCAAATTTATCGCGACGGATTTCGCCAACGGGTACAACCAGACAGAAGGACATTTGTGCAAGTTTCCCAAAGACTTCGAGATACAGGAAGTGTTCAGTCCACTAATATTCGCACTCGTGAAAGACAGGTTACTGTAGAGCAGGAGGAACAAATTTTAAATATCGTGGAAATCAATGTGGATATCATCACCCGGGAAGCATTTTAACACTGTGGTATATGATTCGGCACGAGCCTTAATTTTATTGGTCAATTTCAATTTATTCAACCAATAACAAGCCGGGTGCCGAAATCACTACCGGAATGTTAAACAGTGCTGAGCATGGGGTCAGAATGTTATCAATTTAAATTTAAATTTACTTACCTTCCGCTAAAAATACGTAAGATAATAATCAACGTACGTTGTTTCCTATTACGATATTTAATGATTTTAAAATTAATAATTTGGTTTAGCAATAAGAAAAATCCCATGAAAAATTTAAAATTATATATTATAGAAAATAACTGAATTTAAAAAGAATGCAAGGAAATGTAAAAATCTAAAAAATCATATACTTTTTTTGGATTTTTGTATAAATAATCCGCGGGTGGAATAGTGGTATTTTCCTCCCATGTAATGTAAAAAGCTAAATTCTAATATCTATACACAGAGTGCATTTTCTCATTCAAGTACAGCATTTCAGGGAAGAAATTATCACTTTTCGTGAAAAGGTAGAAGAAAATAAACATATTAAATGTGAATGTTTATTGGTCGGTTCAAAAATAAACAAGAAAATTCAAAAAACAAGAATATTCAAAAATAAAAAAGAAAATTCGAAAATTAACAAAATAATAATGTAATAGGTTTTAGTGACCTGTTCCATGAGACTTTTTCATCAAATTAATATGGGACTACCCCAGAGACATTTATACCCTTTCATTTAAAAGAATAATTATCATAATCGGATAAGCCATCTTGAAAAAATCGGTAAACACACATAGAAAAAAATATAGCTGACGAATTGAAAACCTCCATCTTTTGGGAAGTCGGTTAAAAATATATTTTGCATTCGTTTAAACAATATTATGCCCTAAGTGCGCCTAGAATTTTCGAAGTAGGTATTCTGAAAATTAGTTCTAACCCAAACAAGAACAATGTAGCTCGAAAGCATTCAAAAAAGTCTAGCTCCAAAAATAAAAAAGCTAAAAAAAATAAATAATCCTTTAAAATAACAATACACTTACCTATATACAAGGCGACGCGGATTTGCGAGACCACATTTGAATCGCCAAGTTGTAAGAGTTTCTACCTCATAATCTCTCAGCCACTGCATAGTGCCTTCTTCGTCTGTAAACTTTAACCTGTATATATTGTTTTTTTATTTTAACGCAACCTTCCATTGTTCTGCTCAACTCGAAACGTATTAAAAACGATGACGCTTGAACTTTGAGGTTATAATATCTGACGTAAACTGCGTAAACGATAAAGAACTTCCTTACGCATCGGCGACCTTCGAAATTCCGAACTGTACTTCGGTAATCCTCAACATTCGGGTAGTGATTTCAGCACTCGATATATTAGTAGAGGCAATTTAAATTGATAACATTCTGACACTGTTTTCAGCACTGTTTAACATTCCGGTAATGATTTCGGCACCCGTCATTGGTTGAATAAATTGAAATTGACCAATAAAATTAAGGCTGGTGCCGAACCCTATACCATAGTGTTAAAATGCACCCGGGAATTAGGCCGCCGCGTAGGACGATCAGGGCCCTTTCGAGTTACCCCCAAATTTGTCAGGAGGATAATACCTTAGCTTTCTAGCCAATAACCTACCAGAACTTTTGGAACAGACCTTAGGCAACATGCCATTACCACGGAGACAGACATTGTGGTTTCTTCATGACGGGGTACCACCACCCATTTTTAGATGCGTCATTCAGTATTTGAATGAACATTACCCAAATCGCTGGATCGGTCGAAATGCTCCCGATCCTCGAAAGTGGCCAGCAAGATCTCCTGACTTCAATCCTATGGATTTCTGGTATTGGGGAGAACGTAAATGGATGGTTTATGGGGCTGGTCCAATAACAACTGAAGCACAACCACGCGAAGAAAATTTTAATGCGGCTGAAATAATAAATGGACAACTTCGAGGACTTATAATAAGAAGAAACTGGGTTCGTCGTAACGAAGCTTGTGCGGAAAGTGGAGGACGACATTTTGAACACCTTTTTTAAATACAAAAAAAGTGCAATGTGGGTTTTAAAAAGAAAAACAATGTATGTATCAAAATTGTGTTCCCTGCTTATAAGTGGATCGTTTTCACGTTCAACAAACTTTCACGCACCAGATGAAACG